GAAAATGGACATAGGAGAATTCTTCAAACTTAAACAGGTCTCTCAACATATTCATTATAGAAAAGGTCCTTTAGAAATAGTAAATAATCAGGGATGCCTGGGTGGCTCAGTTGGTTAAGCATCCGACTTTGGCTGAGGTCATGATCTCACAGTTCATGAGTTTGAGCCCCACTTTGGGCTCTGTGGTGACAGCTGGGAGCCTGGAGCCTACTTTGGATTCTGTGTCTCCTCTTTCTCAAAAATAAATAAATATTTTTAATAAATTTAAGAAATAGTAAATAATCATAAAATTCACCACTGTTCTGAAACGTGACTGTTGTACTATCTAATAAATACTTTCTCCAATCCCTTTCTTTTTTTTTTATTCTTTTTTTGTTAATGCTTATTTTTGAGAGAGAGTCTAAGTGGGCAAGGGGTAGAGAGAGAGGGAGACAAAGAATTCAAAGCAGTCTCCAGGCTCGGAGCTGTCAGCACAGAGCCCGACGCGGGTCTTAAACTCACAAACTGCGAGATCATGACCTGAACCAAAGTCAGAGGCTTAATGGACTGAACCACCCAGGCACCCCCCAATCCCTTACAAATAATGAACTCAGAATTGGACTAAAACAAAGAAACTAAATAGAGTAATTCAGTAATAAAAATCCATGCTGAGTTATACAAATATTGATTTTGAGAAAAACAACTGTGATCTAAAAATAGCTGACCTTCTCAGTTGTTCAGAATGTTTTTACTCATGCCTTTTCAAACTGCTTGGCTACAATCTGTAGCCACAGGAAACATGTTTTAAGTGACAATATCTTACATAAGTAATACCTCTGAGAAACTGACTCCTAGGTTTATCCTGCTACTGTTATAAGATAGATTCTGAAAACCCTTAGTAGTATAAATACATAGCAGATGGTGCCTGATAGGCTAAAGTGAGCCCTCAGTTGTTATTGGAAACATAATGGTGATGTGGCAATGATACTTTTTATATTTTATATATATTTTAATACCATGAGATCCATGTGGGAAGATTTATAATTCAATGGTTATGTATTACATATAATTCACAAAGATACCCCAGAGTCAGGGAAGCTCAGGAAATAGAATTTTTGGCTTTTATTGCATTTAGAGAGAAGAAATACAGAACTATGAAGGCCAAAGTAGAAGACCGGGTGCTGCTCTCGTTCTGTCTTTTAACTTCCCCACATGCCCCAGTACTGCATCTTATCCAAAAGCTAAGCCTGAGTCCGCATTTTCTTCCTCACACCTCAAATGTTCCTTCCCTTTTACCACAGTGTCTCCCTATCAGCACCTAGCACAGTGAGTTTCACCCTTGGCTGCACACTGGGGTCACCTGAGTTGCTTCCAGCACTACTGGAGCTCAAGTCACACCTTGAAAAATTCTGATTTTAGTCTGGTCTGGACGTCAGGATATTTTAAAACTCCCCAAGTGATGCTAATGTGCAGCTAAGATGGGAACCACATCCTAGCATACTTTTGGAAAGGAAGAGCCAGGCAAAGTAATGAAATAAAACAAGATGAGACAATGAAAACCAAAATGGGGGCTCAATCCCACATGCCCAGACAAGCAGTAAGATCTGTCTGGTAGTACAGTTCCTAAAGCCATTAGTTTCTCACTCTCCCCCTCCCCCATCCCAATTGGCCCCAACGCCTGTCCTTTCTGTCCATCCCTTTCTACCCAGTCCTCCTGTCAACACGCTAGCTCACACCCTTTCACTTTGCGCCCATCCGAGTCTAGAAGCCCTTAATCAGTCTCCTGCATCCTTTTCTTGGCTCCATCTGATCCACTCTGCACACCACCACCAGATTAATCTGGTTGTCATTCCCCACCTCAAAACCTCCAGCCACCTCTTCCTGCCCCTTATGTCTAAACTACTCAACTTGGTGGGAAAGGCCTTGCCTAGTCTGTTTCCAGATGTCTTTCCAGCTCTCGTTTCTCACTACTGAAAAGGAGCCTCACTCTGTTCTGATCAACTTGGATAGCCAAAGTTCCCCTAACGTACTCTTTTTAAGACTTCGAAAACCAAGGGGGGGGTGGATAGAAGTCAAATATTTTGCCCCAGATCACACAGCTAGTGAGCAGTAGAATGTGGATTGCGTTCCAGATCTGGGCTGTGTCCAGAGCTCTTAAACACCACCTTATTCTCTCTTTCTGGAATGTTGCCTTGCATATCTACCTGTGGAAATCCTACCTATCTTTTCACCTTCATTCCTAAAGCTTTCCTTGTTTTTCCTGTCTGAAGTGACTTTTCTCTCTTCTGATCTTCTATAATACTTTGTTGGCATATTTCACAAGCTATCATGACAAGAGAGTCATGTGATGAGCTTCCTGAGGTTCAAGACATTGTCTTCTGGCCTTGTTGGTCCTTTATAGCACCTAATAACACCAACCACACTGTTGGCACTCAGCAAAGATCTAGTGAAGAATGAGCTGCCGTGGGAAGCTTTCTTCACTCACCCAACCCAGCCACAATGAGAGGTCCTTATTAATTTCAGGAACAGAGATACCCTTTCCCCACCCTGCATATCCTGCCATCCTCCTCTTCTAGTACATCAATTCTTGTTCTGTGTCATGAGCCCTCCATCAACTGCCTATAAAACATTTTGCAACCTGGGAAGGGCTCTGTTGCCTGGTTACCACTGTAAGACTTAGGAAGATGCATATTGTGAAAATAGGAATCATAAAAAACAAGGCTGGTTTCATTCTGTGGAACCTGAAATGGAACCTGGAAAGCAAGGTTCATGTCACATTCCCCTTTTGGGCCTTCTTACCCATTGTCTCTGTTTTATGTGGAAAGAAAGAGGGGTGGGGCTCTTTATGTTGAAAGAAAGAGGGGTGGATATGAGCAAATGCCAAGAAGAGAAAAGGGGAATAACTGGTCAGACAGCTATTCTTTCTCAAGAAACAAACAGCATTCTAGGAAACTAAAAAACTTCCTATTTGCCAGAAATTGTATAAGGAATATAGAACAGAAAAAAAGACATCAAGCCAAAAAAACAGTAGCTCCTTGTTTTGTCTTATCTTCTACATCTAGGAGATAGGGGTTCTACCCCTCTATGCTTCTCTCTACACTGGTCCAGATAGCACTCAACGTATGCTTCTCAGTGTGACTCAGAAAAGGCTACAAGTACCAGACAAAAACAACCCATTTTGTTTAGCATATGACTCCATCGGGGATTCAGTAAAATTCAACAGTGAGTTTTAACCAAATATAATGAGAATAGGTGGAGGCACTTCCACCTGTTGCCCACCTCCCTGCTCAACCCTTTCCTTTGCAGCTCCCTATGGAAGAAGAAGTTGCTGAACTGCTGGGTGTCATTATTTTGGAATGCAATTGAGTCAAAGAGGGAGACCAGGTTCAACTCCCTACAACCCAAGGAGGTTAAGGCAGGAGTGAGGACTGAGTTCCTCTCTCTCTGTCAGCAGCCTCCTTCTCACCCTACAGCAAATACTCTTTTTTTGATTGAAATGAATTCTATCAGAACTGGAAATTCTACCAACAATACTTCTGACAGCCTACTATGTGCAGGGCACACTGTGCTAGAGCTAGGGATAAAAAAAAAACAAAAACAAGAAAACAAAACAAAAGCATTGGCCCCTAATCTTGAGCCATTCACAGTCTAATGGGAAAGGCAGAAACAATTTCCATATACTACAGTGTTATATAAGAGCTAAGCTCAGGTATCTATGGAAATTAAGAGTCTGTGAGAGCGAAACTGAAGTTGGGGAAGGATTCCTTGAAGAAATGAGGTCAGACTGAAGGCTGATGAATGTGTAGAAGTTAGACAGGCCAAGAAGGATGGGAAAGGTCTCAACAGAGAGAACCACATGAGCACAGCCCAGAGACACACACAGCATCCTTCCTTCAAAGCAACAAAACCCCAAATCCTTACTCATCTGCATAACACATACCACTTTCAGGGATCAAAGGAAGAAAGGAAAGGAATTGGTTACATATAATTTAAGCAATAAACTTTGAAGAAGTGCATTAAAAAATAAAATCCATAGCTCTCTCTGATGAAATATGAATAGTAATAAACAAAAACAAAAATAAATCTTTTAGAGTGGCTTTGGTTAAAGCAAACAACTCAACTTCCTAATCTCCACAGGCGGGATGAAATTGCAAGTGGCCTTTCAATGACAAAGCTGGTGTTGACCCCGAAATCACATGAGGCAGATGGAAGACAAGCTAAACAGCACACACATGGCCATTGTGTAAATTCCTAACCTCACAGCAATTTAAGTAAGAGATGACATCATAAGCCCTATAAACCCATGGAGGGAAGGGCCTTTCCTGGCTGGAGACTGGACACAGCACTATCAAAGAGTTGGGTTTGGGCCTCATTCCCAGCTCTATCTTTGTCTGTAAAATGGTTCATCAATATGAACTCTGTCCCACACTCCACCCCTTGGAAGCCTAGGTATTGACTGACTCAACTCGATAAAGGTATAAGGCTCGGGCTAGAGAAACAGCAGATGCCCAAAAACATCTCTGTCATATTCTCAGCTACAAGCACAGTTTTTATTCTCAGCCTTTGTTTTCTTGCTCTGTGCCTTAGATTCTCCATCTGAATATGGAGAATTCCTCCTTATTTAGGGAAGATAAACTAAATAACTCCTAATATGGCTTGACCTCCTTGAGAAATGGTCACGTGTCCCAGATGACAGGCCCTAGGAAGCTAGAATCACCTTATTCTACTGCAATAAACCTGAAGGGGCAGATGCAGCATTAGCATGTTCAACCAATGTTTCATTCACTCAACAGTGTTGACTAAGTACCTCCTATGTGTGAATCATAGTCAAAACTGACATTGTTTTCTAGCCTCTTCCCCTACCCCTTGTCTGTGAGGGATACATCAGAGAAACTGGCCACGCTACATACCAGCGTGGGCTGCACTCAGCAAAAATTCCATCTCAACCCAGCCCTATCACATGGGAAATTCAGAATAAACTAAGTGACTGGGAAGCCAGCAAAACGCTGTGTTCAACTCACCTGGGGATGCTAGTCAGGTAGGTCATGACATTCAGGAAGTCTTCCTCTGGGATGTGTTTGAACCCCACAAACTCTGGAAAAGTGATGATGGGGGCACCGTCTTTCCCTCGGCCTCCTGCAACAAAAATGGGTGGTCAAGATGTTAACAAAATGTTTTCATGTCACATCTCTGCAGGTAAGCGACTTTGATTAATGTCAAGTGGGGAGATACATACTGGCCTTCCCCTTTTCCATCTGTATTATTTCAGACTAGAAAGTGGGAAGGCTGACATGGAACTATTTTGAACAAGTCTCCTCTTCAGGCTTGCTCAAGTGATATTGTGAGAGTTCAATTTTTAAATCCTCTGAAGACAGTTAGTGTATAAAAGATAGTACTAATTTAATTACTTCAGCACAAGTGGAACAGTAAGTAATGTCAATACAAATATATAATATTGTTCTTAATTTTTGTAGTCAATAAATGTCAAAGTTAAAGCATGGTGGCCAAGTGAGTTTTGTTCTAAAGTCAGCCTGGTTCAAATCCTGCTCTGCCACTTAATTTCTATGTGACTTCATGCAAAGATAGTTCATCTAAATAGGATTTTCCATAAATATATATACATATATAATAGGAATAATATTTTTACCTACCTCTAAAGGTATTGTGAGATTAAGTGAGAACATATATGAAAAACACATTAGTAGAGTGCTTATTACATATAAGTGCTTAATAAATAGTGACCATTATATGGTTATTATTATTACAAGGAGGCAATATTATATTTATTATTATTACAAGGAGGCAATAACCACCTGCCCTTCAATAACTTACCAACAGGGGTATAAAACATCACTGTAAGAATAAAAATGTAAAATTAATATTTAAATATTTAATCCAGGGGCACCTGGGTGGCTTAGTCGGTTAAGCTTCCGACTTCAGCTCAGGTCATGATCTCACTGTTTGTAAGTTCAAGCCCCTCATTGGGTTCTGTGCTGACAGCTCAGAGCCTGGAGCCTGCTTTGGATTCTGTGTCTCCCTCTCTCTCTGCCCCTCCCCCACTCATGCTCTGCCTCTCTCTCAAAACTGGATAAACATTTTAAAAAAGTTTTTATGTATTTAATCCATTGGAGCAGAGGCCACTAGATTAAATTAAATGGATTATATTTCCTCATCTCCTTGCAGCTAGATGCAGCTACATGACTGAGTTCTAGCCCTGTGGTTCTCAAATTGTGTCCCAGGTACCCAGGGAACCACGGTGAACTCGCAAGAACATCATTAATATTTTAAATGTTTGAGGGAAACAGCAATAGTTGGCATGTATCAGACAACATGCATGCTACTAGCTTGAGGGAGTTCACAGTTTCAACATTAAATTGCACTACATTCTTTTGAAAGTCATTGCATGCTTGTGAAGTTGGGGTTTTGGTGACTGCTGAGATAAAAAGCAAGCGCAGTATGAAAATTAATATAGAACAGGAAATAAAGGTGGTGATGTCCAGTCTCATTCCGAGATTCAAGATTATTGTAGTTACCTACGAATGAAATGTAAACATTACTTTTTCTTTCAATTTACATGTATTATTTTTTCAAACAGCTACCAAACTGTTAGGACATACAGACTTACTAAGTGATTTTAACTGTTAGGTATTGTTTTTGGCCAAGAAAGGCTGTGAAAATACTAAGATAGACTGAGATATATATCTGAGACTGAAAAACTAAGCACCAAGAACTGAGTAAATTGGGGAATCTATGCCCTCCCTGACAGGACAGGAGCTGAGTTGCTGAGAGCACTTCTAGGTTATGTCTATGGAGGGAAACCACTTTAAGAAAAATAATGGCTCCCAAGAGAAGCCAACTACAAATGACTGCATGTATTTCACATATGTAATGAAAGAGGTAGGGCAGGGTGTGGTTTAATGACAATTGTGTGATTAAGAAGGGTGTGGGATCAATGAAGAAATTACAGAAAAGGGCAACTCAGAGAAGCAAATGCAGGTCATGTCTTGTCAATGATGCTATCCTAAGGAAGGAGGGACCTGGCCTACCATCATGAGAATCTAGGCCAGTCTACCAGATGACAGTACCATTAAGGTTATCCAATCCACTCTGCTGCTCTGAGTCCATACCTGATAAGCATCTTCTGATTATACTCTGACTTTCCATGTAAATTTCTTCCAAGGCAAAAAATGTGCTGTCAAGCACATCATGAAAAAAATTACATCATGAAAAGATTAAATCAGTCTTGTAGTTTTCTATACCAGTATCTTCTAGGTATTGTTCACGTAGGGTTAGGCTCTCAGAGACCAATCGCAATGGAATGAAACTGTGTGAGACTTGTCTGGATGATTAGACATTCTTCTCCAGGAAGTAGCTCCTTAATAATTCTATGCGTTTATTTTAAATTAAAAAAAAAAAAAACAGTTAACTGCATATTAAATGTTTGTCAAACTTTGACTTGGAGATTAAGATGCCTCATTATGCTGACTGAAAACAACTTAAATCAGGATACTATCAGCTTTCACCTCATATTTTTCCTCTTTGCAGTCATACAGCCATAGGAAGTCTTAGATGAATGCAAATTAAGAGAATTTACATCTCCAGTAAGGCTAAATTTAAATGCATTATAACACTGTACTAATTGCATAGCCAATATTTGCCAAGAAAATGGCTAAAACATTTCAAGGAATCAAAACATCCTAAAAATATTCATTAGGGCATGATTATACTATTTAATGATTGTCTTTTACTGTTGATTATAAAATAAAGCTCTTCACACCTAAATGGAGAAAGATAGGTGGAGTGTTCTTGTATCTTGGTTTATACCAATACTGAACACCAGAGAGGCCCAAGGTTGACTGGGGACACCACCTGCGGTTGAACATTAAACGTGACAGACAGAAGCACCAAGGAAACAAAGCTAAGCCTCCAGACAGCCATTGACCACGCACACCACGGCATTTGGTGCCACCTTGTGAGAAAATGTGGAAATGCAAAAGGATGAAAGTGTACCAAAGAAGCCCTATTCAAGGAAAATAAAGAACACCAAATTACTTGGAAGTAAAATGGTGACTTAAATAAAATAAATTTCAGTACTCCTGGCATAACTTTTACCTGTTCACTAAATGGAAGAGGATTAGGTTTACTGCAGAAAACAGTAGTGAGTACTTGAGAGACATAAAATTGTTCCTATGAGGGTCTGAGTGTTGGCTGGCACGGAGACTTCTGTCCTACTATAGAGGAGAATTTGGAATGCTAGCAAATCCTATAGAAGATGGTGAAGACCAACAATGAAAGAGAGAGTGAGGCAGTTAATGCTATTTGCCTTCCAATATCCATTTTCCTTTTCTCTCCCTGCCAAAAAAAAAAAAAAAAAAAAAAAAGATTTCAGCTGGGTAAATGGCAATACCACTTCCTGGGAGGCACTTTAGAAAACTCAGGGCCTGGGATACCAAATCATCTGTCCTACATAATATTGTCCCACATCCTGTGTGATTTCTGAATATCTTAATAGAAACTCTATGTAAGTGAAAAATCCATTTATAGTGATATTTATAGTGATCAGATCCTATAAACCCAGTTTTATACATAATAATAGAGGGTTTTTTAATATTTTTCCATTTTATTGAGACATAACTGACACAATTAACAATGTATTAGTTTAAGGTATGCATATAATGATTTGACATATGTATACATTATAAAATGGTGACCACAAAAAGTTTAGCTAATACCCATCACCTCACAAATCACCTTACAATTTTTTTTCTTCAGATCTATTCTCTTGGCATTTTTCAAATACACTATACGGTATTGTTAACTATAGTCACCATGCTGTACATTACATCCCCAGAACTTAGTTATCTTATAACTGAAAGTGTGTACTTTTTTTTTTTTAATTTTTGTTTTCAACGTTTATTTATTTTTTTTTGGGACAGAGAGAGACAGAGCATGAACGGGGGAGGGGCACAGAGAGAGGGAGACACAGAATCGGAAACAGGCTCCAGGCTCCGAGCCATCAGCCCAGAGCCTGACGCGGGGCTCGAACTCACGGACCGCGAGATCGTGACCTGGCTGAAGTCGGACGCTTAACCGACTGCGCCACCCAGGCGCCCCGAAAGTGTGTACTTTTGACCACTTTCCTCCATTTTCCTCACCCCCACCCCACCTCTGGCAACCACCAATTTTCTTCTCTGTTTCTGTGAGTTCACTTTTTTAAGATTCCACCTACAAGTAACATCATAAAGTATTTGCCTTTCCTTATCTGACTTATTTCACCTAGCATAATGCCCTCAAGGTCCACCCATGTTGTCACAAATAAGAAGTTATTTTTATATGGTTTTAATATATACTAAATTTTTCAAGAATGCAACTACCCTACACATTCAAGGAAGTTAATACCTACTTTGTTCAGAATGTATCAACTTTGTTCAGAACTGTATCAACCATTATTTACCCTTTCAGAAAACCATTACAGTAAGGCTACTCAGGGTGTCTGATCACCTATACCACACCCCAGCATTTACAGCTATCACATTCATGGTAACCAAGCACCTGACTACTTTATTATTTTTTTCTAGTATAGCTAGAAATACATATTGAAATACATATTATTTTACTATGTTTATTTTCCTTTTATTTCTCCTTTATTGCTCTCCTTTACATTTTCTTTTTTTCTTTTTTTTTTTTTTCTGTATATACATAAACAGGGGGTAGCTATTCACCCTCTGTGAGCACACAACTAAACTACACTGCTAGCTTCCCATGCTATCAAATGTATCTATGTAAGCGATCCAGGTTCAAGTCAATGGTGTATGGTGTGTGCTGTTGTTGAGCCGAGGCTTTTTTTTTTTTTTTTTTTTTTTAATTTAGATATAAAGTTTTATTGCTTGGATGTTCATGTTATTTAATTGTCTTTTTTTTTTATTTATATATGAAATTTATTGTCAAATTGGTTTCCATACAACACCCAGTGCTCATCCCAAAAGGTGCCCTCCTCAATACCCATCACCCACCCTCTCCTCCCTCCCACCCCCCATCAACCCTCAGTTTGCTCTCAGTTCTCAGCAGTCTCTTATGCTTTGGCTCTCTCCCACTCTAACCTCTTTTTGTTTTTTTTCCTTCCCCTCCCCCATGAGCCGAGGCTTTTAAGAAGCAGTATGCTCTCTTTTCCCTGTCTGCTTTCTGGATACAAATCATAAGACAGCCATAAAATGGATAATAGTAATATAAGCCACAAAGTGAAAGGAATCTTCATGATGAAGATGGAGAGAAATCATCTGCTGACCATGAACATACATGTTGAACTGCTCCAAGAGAAATAACTAAATTTCTATTGTGTTTGTTTGAACTACTATGCACCTTAGAGTCTATTTAGTATAGCTGTTCAGTCCACCCTAACTAACACAGGTCATGGTATCCACAAATTTCAACTCAGGATAGTGGGGGCAATACAAATCATTTGTTATAAAAAGAAGGACTGGGACCAACATGATTGAGAACCATTTCTGTAGTCTACACTGCTCAATACAATAGCCACTAGACATATGTGGTCGTTGAGCACTTGAAATATGACCAGCCCAAATTGAGATGAACTGTAAGCGTTGAAATACAAACTAGATTTCCAAGACTTAGTACAAAAAAATGTAAAGCATCTCAACAATAATTTTGAATATTGATGACATGTTGGAATAATATTTTAGATATATTGGGTTAAATAAAAATACTATGAGAATTAATTTCCTTTTTGCTTTTTTAATATGGCTACTAGAAATTTTAAAAACACATATGTGAGTCACATTATGTTTCTATTAAAAAATACTGCCCCCCCCCCTTGGGGCGCCTGGGTGGCGCAGTCGGTTAAGCGTCCGACTTCAGCCAGGTCACGATCTCGCGGTCCGTGAGTTCGAGCCCCGCGTCAGGCTCTGGGCTGATGGCTCAGAGCCTGGAGCCTGTTTCCGATTCTGTGTCTCCCTCTCTCTCTGCCCCTTCCCCGTTCATGCTCTGTCTCTCTCTGTCCCCAAAAAAATAAATAAACGTTGAAAAAAAAAATAAAAAAAAAAAATACTGCCCCCTACACCTTCTTGCACTGGTTCTCATTTCCTTGATGCCAAGTTACTAACTCTATCTCTGATTTAGATATAAGTTTGACTCTGATCAGTTTCTTAATGTGACATTCTCCATTGTTTCAGTGAGAATTTCCCACTTGCCCCTGGGAACTCCACCTCTACCAACCCTAGGCTCCACTGGTGGACTCCATAAGCCTAAGAGTATTTTATGCCTTCATTACTGATTATTTCTAAAAGATGGTATGTGAGAGAGGAAACTTCAGACAATGATTCCAAGGGGGGACATAACCATTAAAATAAAAAGAAAACGGTAATTTCTTTTAATTAGATTCCTTTTAATCCCAAGTATTATGGTAGAGATTGATGAATGACTAATTTATAACCAACCCCCTCTCCCCAACCACCTTCCACTGTAGCCATTTAAAAGCTAATGTTTGCCTTTTCTGACTTCCTTGCTGGTAGAAATGGCTACATGACACAATTCCAGGATGAGACATAATCAGAAGTCTACCAAGAGCTTCTGGGAAAATTTTTGTTCTCCTGGCAAAAGGGACAGAAGAAGCCAGCATTGCTCCTTTTCCTTCTTCCTGCTTTGGACACAGACTTGATGTGTGGAGCTACAGCAGCCATTTTGACATTAAGACTAAAAACAAGAGAAACATCGAGAGAACCACAAAGATGCACCCTTAATGTCATTGAGCCACTGGCCCAATACCAGAAATTTCTACTTTTGGGCCTCTGTTATGTGGCTTAGAAAACAAACAAACAAGTCCTATAGGCTAGGTTCTCTTATAGCCAGATACCACATGACACACTTTCCTTAAAAGAACCCACTTTACCAATGAGAAGCCTGAGGTTCACAGCAACAATCTAATCATGTTGGAATGTGAACACAGAATTATCTGAGTCCAAAGCCTAGAGTGTTTCCACCATATTAACCTGCTTATATTCTCTTGTTTCCTAGCTAAGCCCTAAATTTAGAAATATCCCAAGTTCACTGGGAACATGCCAGTTGTCTTTCAAGTCAAGAGCCAGCAGAGGCCCAGCCCTGGTCACTATCCAATTCCTGCTGGTGGCCCCTGTTCACAGACCTCACCGTCCAAAGGCTTCAAACCAGACATCTGGCCACAAATCTGGGTCATCCATGGTGCAGTGAGTCCCTGCTCTCCCACCAGCCATGGGAGCACACTCACGGAGCACGGCAGGCCAGGCAACTGGGGCCTCACTGAAGAAAAAGCTCCATCCTGTCCTTCCCAGCATTCCTGGCTGATAGGGCCCCAGCTCTTTCCAGAGCTCAGTGGAATCTGCACAAAGTCTGCAGCTGGGACATCCTCACCCTGCTTGCCTGAATCAGGAGAACTGCTGTGACCCTGAACAGAGGCCACAGCTCGGTGGCCACAGGGCTGAGAAAAGACCTGAGTGTTTTACAGCTACACAGGTACCCACAAGGGCCTCATTGCTGACATTGGCTGCCACTGGCAGGTAACGATGAAAAGCAGGCCTAGTAATTCCAAGAAAGTGCTGACTCAGAGAACTTGATATTCTTGGCTACTGATATTCTTCCAGACTTGCAATACTGCAAATCTTACCACAGCTAATCCATGCTTCTCTCTCATAGGATGGGGAAACTTGAGGCAACAACATGACAAAAGAAGCTAGAAAATGAAAGGATTGTCTTTGCCACAGTCAAAGTGACTTTCCTAGAGCAGAGCTGTCCTCTTGGTCCAATGTGCGTGTTTATAGTTCAATGTTCTACATTAAAGAGTGACAATTAGGGGCGCCTGGGTGGCTCAGTCGATTAAGCATCTGACTTCGATTCAGGTCATGATCTCGTGGTTCATGAGTTTGAGCCCCATGTCGGGCTCTGTGCTGGCAGCTTAGAGCCTGGAACCTGCTTCAGATTCTGTGTCTCCTCTCTCTGCCCCTTCTCCGCTCATGCTCTGTCTCTCTCTCAAAAATAAATAAACATTTAAAAAAAATTTTTTTAAAAAGAGTGACAATTATCTCTATTACTGACTTCATTGTGACATCATACACCACTTCAACTGTGAGCATAGCTTTGGTTCCTTATACAAACTATATCATACTGAAAACTATTCGTTGTAATATAATCCTAAAATAAACATTTCTATGGGATTACAATATACCAGGAAAAATACTCATACAGTTGGCAGTTGCAATGCTAATAAGCATTTTTCATACACTGCATCTTTAATCCTCCAAGTTATGATGATCCCACCTATTCATTATACAAGTGAGGAAAGTAAGGCTTAGGAATTAAGTTGCCAAAGAGATGCAGCTGGTCAACAGCAGAACCTAAATCCGTATCTAGGGCTGTCTGGTACCCATTTATGTTTTCCTATGTCATCCTAAGAAATAAGAATAGAGAGAAGCACTTCAGTAACACTCAAAGGAGGTAACTTTGGAGCACTAAATGCACACATTAATTGGTCACTAGACTTCTTCCCCAGATGAGCCATTATCTACGCCAGAATCATGTGCTGGGGCATTAGGGTTTTGGCGTAAGGCTACAGAAATCCACTTCACCTCACGCCTTCATCCATTCCAGACCTGGATGCCCATTAGCGTTGCAGCCTTCTGTGCCATAAGACCACAGCAGCAGTTGCCAAAAACCCAGAGGGCAGTCCCCACCCTGCCTTTTGTTTTTCAGTGTCCTAGGCTCACTGTGAGAAGCTAGGAGGCTGCACCTTCAGGAGGCTGGTTAGGCACTCCCGCCAGGGCCAACACTGGGCTGCCTACGGCAGCGATGGAGGAGCAGGACTCACAGGACACACCAGGAGGACTCGGATAATTCTGAACTGAGCACTTATTATATCACAGTCTCTGTTCTAAGTGATACAGGAAGAAATAAAAAAAAATGAGGACTCTGCTTATGGAGCTTTCAGTAACTATATGAGCAGTGATCAATGTGGAGGAAAGACCAGAGAATTCCCCAGAATGTCTGGATTGTGTAAGATGTCCCCACCCAGGATGTGACTCATGGATGGGAGAAGTATCCCAGTAACGGAGACTGCATTTCCCTCAAACTCGGTAGGATAAAGATTTTGGAGCAGATTAAATATGATTTAGCAAAAGGAAAGAAATTCGCCTTTTTTTTTTTTTACATCCCATGTTGTAGAGTTAAATTCATACCAACTACATACTCTCCGAAATGGAACTAAGGTGGCTTTGTTGCTTTTTTTCAGAACAGATGTAAAGATGAGGAAAGTGACTTGCCATCTATTCCTCTGTGACATGTGCTAAGGACAACTAATTTCATGCCATACTTCTAAGACAGGTCTAAATATAATTCAGGGTTTGGTATGTACCTCCAGTTTCAGTAATGAAAGTCATGTCACCATTAGCTAAGTGAATAAGAAAGAAGAGTGTTCTGGTAATGACAGCTTCTCAGGGTTGTGCCTAGGCTCAGAAAATTTCTAGCCTCTTCTGAACATTAGCCTCTCTTTATTCCCAAATGTTCAATGGAAATCAATGCATTAAAATTAGGTCCATAAGAGCTAAGAATAAAAGACAAATCTCTCAAAGAACAAATAACCTCACCAGTGCTCGTGAACCCTCAAAACCAAACTCTCTAAAGGTTGGATCTTGGAAAAATATCCAAGAAGAATGTTGGGAAAATGTCATGATGGCAGCTGATATCAATAGCCATTTCTTTTTCCTTCCTCAAAATCTTTTTGGCTCTGTTCTTTACAACCTCAAGGAAATGTACTCCCTTAGGAAAGATTAAATGACACCCAACAGCAACAGGAATGATATCTCTGAGATCTACCCTCCTCCAGATGGACATTTCTCAGTTCATTCTAGGTCTGAGAGAGGCTTAAGATTAAGACTTGGGTGTACTGTTCATTAGGGTTCATTAAGATTTGCGTGTACTGGGCCCTCCCAACAAGACCCCTGCCCCCACAACAAAATCTAAAATACAAACTAATTTGCCCCTTACCTGAGAGAATGGCAAACTGTCTGTGAAGTTGTTCAATTATATCCACTGCCACCAAAGGCCTGATTTCCTGTTGCATGATTTCATCTGCACAAATGAAATACAAATTAGGTTAAATCCTTGTAAATTACAAAGAGAATTTTAAAAGGAAGAAATGGAAGCTTCACTACTCAGGAAATCTGGGACTTATCAAAATATGGTTATACGCACACTATTCTCTTGCACACTTGATTCCTGAGATGCAGAAATGGATCTGGGTTTTGTGCGGTTTGAAGCTTATACCCATGAGCACAGAAGCACACTTCTAGAGCCTCTCCCAAGGTTTTAGGAGGGACCAGTGCAAGGAAGGGGCCCTGAAGTTTAAGCTTAGGTAGCTTCACAATATACCTGCTAGGATGGTCTCATTATCAAGGCAGGTACTCAGGTATCTGCCTACTCCTTTAGGTCTGCAGGACATTTTAAATACAAACAACATAAATCATCAGAGTTCATCTCAAGCTGGGCCATAAAATCAATCTGAGATTTATGAAGGTTCTTTGCTTTTGTTTCCTTCCCTCCCTAATTCCTTCCTTTTTGCCTCCCTCCTTAGTTACCTCAATGCCTTTTTATTTTTTCCCCTTCCAGAATACTTCAAGGGGACTCTTCCCACTGCCAAGCATGTTTAAGGAAGCACTTCCCCATTTTGCTAATTAAAGATGCTCCATACTGAATAAAGAGGTACATATTTTCAAGGCAAAAGTTCAAATCGTTCAAGCACAAACCTACAAATGTCCTCTAACCCTAAGAGTGATCTATAGGCCCTATGATTTGTATTCTATCCATTTAGGAAAAAGAGATTAGAGAAGGGAGAAGACTGAATGGAAATCCTTCACCTGGGCTGAAAAGAGAAAGGCATTTTCAACTCTCACTGCCTAAGATATCATTATCCTCATTTAACTGTTTCCCAGGGAATCTCAAAAAATGAACTGGTTATTGTTTCTACAGCAGTTAAACATCAAGTTAGATTAAGGCATGAGTCAAACAGTCTTGTACATTGATGCTAAATAGGAATCTCCCATTGATTCAGCCTGGAGCTGGGGTAACGTTTTGATATTACAATGTTGACCAATCAGAAGGTTATATTAGGGAAACTCCTCCCAGAGCCTTGGTTTCCACTTCTGGGCTTTTGTGTGAAGGTTCAAGGAGATGACACTTACAGGATGTACATGATGCTCAGCAAATGCTACTTATATCCCTTGATCTGGAAAGGCCTTTCCCATATATGCTTTCTGAAAGTCTTGTTAGGCTGGGGGCAAGTGCCAACTTAAATGCCAAGACCCTTCTCAATGAATTCTACCACTCTCTCTGGAGGAAAGCAGGTAAACCCAGGCCAGAGCTCCTTTATCCCTCCTTTGTCTTTCCACCCTGATTTCACTAAAAATTCACTAATTTCCTGTTTCACTGTTAATTTTGGTGGATGCAATAATGGCACTGTAGTTCTACTTGGCAAAAATGGAGGGCCTTCTCTGTTTTATACATGAACTAAAGTATTTAACAATAACATAAGCCTAAGGTCTGATTAAAAATGCTCAGGCACTACCCCCTACCAAAAATGTATGGGGCAAGGGGAGGGGGAGATGAAACCAGACTGACAAATGTGGATAATTGTTGAAGTTGGTTGATGATGGGTCCATGAGAGTTCATTGTATAATTCTTGTGCATATGTTTCAAATTGTTCATAACAAAATGTAAGTTACAAATGGACACCAACATAGAAAATTTAAGCAGAAATAGGAGTTACATAATGGAAGAGTTTTTCAGAATATAATCTCCCAGTGGTCTGGGAAAGTGGCATATTCAAAAATAGAGCTGGGTTATTATTTTTGCATGCCTGAGGGAGCATATTTAAGAGATAGTGACCCCAAAGAAAAACCAAGTTATAAAATATATCGTTATTGTACCTCAATATTTGAGGTGTGCTTTTGACATTTTAAGGAGGTAAGAGCTGAAAATGGACAACAGAAGTGAGTTAAGCCAACCATCCCCCAACCCATCTCATTTTTTAAGTGAAGAAATGGAGACCCAGAGAGATTCTGACCCTGCCTGTGGTCATCTAATTTAAGCATGGAGGTGGGCTCAGCCTAGGATCACCTGACTCTAAGAGGGCAAATCTCAGCCTTCTATGATAGGATTCCCAGACCCTTGGTCTTCGGGAGCACTGTCTTTGACCACCGCTGAGAGGAGAACTAGTGTCTCTCATTGTGGGAATCTGTAGAGGTCTGCGTAGCCTTTCAACAGAGACCTTTCCCACCTGAGGTTACCAAATGAACAGGACTAAAATTTAGAATTTGTTTTTCAAGCATAGAAATGAGCTGGTTTGCCTTTGCTGAAAGAGCTTGGCCCCCAGCCAGGAAGGGATAGGGTTATCCTTGAAGATTTCCCAGCAAAGGAGCTTCATGACCCCATCTGGCTGGCTGCAACAGATCATGTGAGTTTCTCAGACTCAGGGCTGACCCAGAGCATGGAGATGACCTCAGACACACCCAGCTTTTAGTGATGCCTGACATCTATGGGCCTGTTGGAATAGGGGCAAGGTTGGTTCAGCCCCAAAAGAGACATAAAAAACCAGGCCTGCTGCTGGAGGGCCTTGCTCTCCACTGCTGCATAGATGGGGTTGGGAAGCTCTTTAGTCTAAAGGAACACCTTCCTCTGCAGTGGGAAAGAACCCAGACAGCCCTTCCCCCACATGGGAAGGGCGGTTTCTGCCAACTTCTAGCTAGGCTGCCAGAGCAAGAACACTCTGAGTCTCAGTGTCCTCTGTTGTGAAATGGCTTTTCCTTCTCTAGAAACAGTTGAGCCTGAGCAGTGATAACCCACCGAAGTGGTGGTCCCTGATGCACTTTGCCTGGCCACTTGGTCCTGTGTGGAGGCTTCCTGTTTGCTGCTTGCTATTTTTGATGTACATGGATTAGGCAGAAGCTTATCTCTTTCAACCCTCATAAGGCAAGGGGAGGTGATCATTCAACATCAACACAATTTCTATCCTGCACAAAGTTACAAATAGATCAGGGAAAAACTTGTTCCTTTTCTATCCCTGATAAGTATACAGGCGTGAGATTGTATGCTACCCAGGACCCACAGTTCCAGAGATGCAGAAGGTATCAAAGTTGCACAAACAGCCTCCTAGGTGGTGGAATAACAAACCTAGTACATCCCATGGAAACTCAGCTTAGGAAGGCAGTAAGCAACACCCCTGTGTCGTCCACTACCCAGTCTGAGCGAGCAATGCAGGCTCTGGGGCAGGACCTTTCCTACTGATTGCACCCACCCTCACGGCAGAGGGCAGGGAACTGCTGATAACGGCTTTATGCAGTCTGAGTTTGCAACTGATCAGGAATAAAGGGAGTAAAACCCTCAGCCTCCCACTCTGGCTGTTCTGAAAGTTCAGTCACACTGGGATTTAAAAGTATGGTCTGAAGAGAAAAAGAACCAAATTGCTAAATAAGTAAGTTAGGGGAACAAAGTGTGGTCTGGACCGAAGAGGGAAGGCAGCCCCAATTTTGACGGACCTTGCCACACTTCTACTTTGCCAAGAGAATCTGGTGAACAGAAAAAAATGGAAGAGTTTGCCGCTTAGGTGGACTAGGAATGGGCCCAGGATCCCCAGTCTCAGTCTCTGTGCAGCACACTTCTCTGCTAGTAATACTAATGAACACCAGCTGTGAGCTGGCCCTGACAATGCACCTCACAGATTAACTCATTTAATCGGTCGGATAATGACAGTAAAGGAATGCACCTTTTCACTAAAATGAACCTCCTCCCACCCACCCCACCCTCTCACCCCCACAACTAGACCAGACTTGACTGCCAGGAAAACACGTGTAGAGCAACAGCTCTGAGAAATCAGTTGCCAGGCTGGTAGGAAGGGCCATCCCACGGGGTCACGCATTTCACTTCTCTTTCTCATTGGCCAGGTCAGAAATAACACAAACCCATTTTCCTTCTTTTACTGGGCCCTGTATGAGAGCAATGGTTAACCCAAACCATAAGACTTAGTATTGAAGTCTTGTCTATAAATTAGCAATGAATAAAAGGCATGTGAAAAGCAGATGGAAGATTTTTTTAAGGAGAAATCTAGAATTTTAATAGCAAGAACACTGAAAAATGTCCAATTTCCCACTAGTCAAATAATGCAATTAAAACAATAATAGAATACCTCATTCATCCATAAAATAACTGAGACTCTAACACCCAATCCTGGGGTTTTCTTGGAAAACTAATACATGTACATGACCTTGGGGTGTGAAGCTGGTAGATCCCTTTTAGAAAGTGGTTTCACAATATTTTATCCAGTGATTATTGTGTAGTTACATACCAAACCCTTTATATGCAGCATCTCATTTAATCCTCAAAACAATGCTAAGGGTGATATTGAACTAGATTTGCTCATCCAAGGTCAATCAAGGTCATCCAAGCTCATCCAAGGTCAAGCAGAGCCAGAATTTGAACCCATCTCATTCTGAACTCCAAAGCCCAACATCTTAACCATTGCAATACAGAGTTTCAATACACAGTCATTAAAATCTTCATAATCTTTTATTCATTCATCTAATATCTGGAAATTTAGGCCAAGAAAATAGTAAAATTAAAATGTTATACATAAAAAAGGTAGACTGGAAATACTATTTATAAGAGTTAAGAGATGAAAGCATTCATTATATAATTGTGAAAACCATCTCCACAGAAAAAGATTCAAAATATAATATCAAGGACATAAAAACTATATGTGAGGTGAGACTGCAGACAAGTTTAAAAAAAGAAGAAGAAAGTACGTGGTGTATTTGTGCACATGTGTGTGAGCATATGAGAAAAGAATATTTGAAATAGTTGTGTTAGAGTAACGGAATCATATTGTTCTTACCCACTTAGCTTACATACAGAAAAATATGCTCTGGTAGCCTTTATTTTTTATGCTAATAGGACTTTATTGAAGTACAATTTACATGCAGCACAACGCACAGATCCTCAGTGTACAGTTTCATGTATTCTGATAAATATATACACTCACATAACCATCAAACAGATCAAGATATGGAACATTTCCATCACCCCAAAAGCTTCCTTGTGACCCCTGCCCCAGACCCCACACTGTTGGGAGCTCCACGTTTCACAGCCCTCCCTCTCATAAATACATGTGTTAAAGACCACATGGGTGGCTCTGTCACTCGTGATCCAGTGCTCGGGGCTGGCAGGGCAGCCCCACACATCTACTCTTTTAACACCACTGGAGACCCAGGGAAATACTTCTCCACATCTCTTGATCTATATCCTCAAAAGAAAGGACGTCTGCATCCAATGCTATGACGGTTTGTGGGTTGTGCCACTGCTCGTATCAGGGACAGACGCTGCTTCAGAGCGCTGGGAGGATTGGAGCAGCGGAAGTGCTTAGGTAAGAGAAAAGACAAATTAATGAACATGTCAAATCCTCCCTCTCACACGGTGTGAATGTTGTAGATTCTTATATAATGAAATATCTGCCCAGTCCTACCAATCATCAACCTTCTTTCTCCCTTCTTTAATTTTTTTTTTGACGTTTTTATTTATTTTTGAGAGACAGAGCATGAGTGGGGGAGGAGCAGAGAGAGAGGGAGACACAGAATCTGAAGCAGGCTCCAGGCTCTGAGCTGTCAGCACGGAGTCCCCATGCAGGGCTGTAATTCATGAACTGTGAGATCATGACCTGAGCCAAAGTTGGGTGCTTAACTGACTGAGCCACCCAGGGGCCCCCAACCCTCTTTCTTCTTTCTATTTCATGATGCAAATACATATATTCAAAATGTGAATTCCTTGAATCCAATTACAAAATTTTACTTAGATCACTTTTTTTTAAAAGAGTTCTTTTTTATTAATTAATTAATTAATTAATTGTTTTTACCGGTTTTTTTAATTTTATTTTTTGAGAGACAGAGACAGAGTGCTAGTTGGGGAGGGGCAGAGAGAGAGGGATACACAGAATCTGAAGCAGGCTCCAGGCTCTGAGCTGTCAGCGCACAGAGCCCTACATGGGGCTCAAACCTACAAACTGTGAGATCATGACCTGAGCTGAGGTCAGACGTTTAACTGACTAAGCCGCCCCTAGATCGCTTTTTTTTTAAATTTTTAACTTATTTTGAGAGAGAGAAAGAGTGGGGGGGGGAGGGGCAGAAAGAGAGGGAGACACAGAATCTGAAGCAGGCTCCAGGCTCTGATCTACCAGCGCAGAGCCCAAAGTGGGGCTCAAACTCACAAGTGTGAGATCATGACCTGAGCCAAAGTCAGATGCTCAGCTGACTGACCCACCCAGGCGCCCCCTACTTAGATCACATTTTAGATCACTGCTCTCACCAGAGCTCAAATTATGTGAAAATCTCAATTATAACAACAGTGCTTTTGCTAACATAAAGGCAAGAAAAAAATACATATTTTATGGATTAATTAGTGATTTACAGATTACAGATATCTTCATTACCCATCCAAATTTCATAGGGCCATCAACACAACACTCAGAAACACAATAATTCAATTTTTTTCATCTTTGCTATTTTCTGAATTTTACTCATATAAAAACCACAGCTTTCTACACATTTTAATTTTGTTCTTATGAGAGTATGTTTATAAGGTAGGTGGGAAAATAAAACATGTTTTATTTTATTTTATTTTATTTTATTTGTACTCTTGTCCCAGTCTCTGTCGGCAATGCCTGTTTAAAACTACTTTGAAAACTGGTAAGATATTACTAAGCATAGCATTTCTGTTTTTTAATATTTATCCAAATCCCTTTTCTCCTTTTTCTTTCCCTCACAAAGTTGATACATTTTCTTAAAACTCCTTAATTTCTGCTGACATTTCACATCGTACCCTTGTAGGAGACAAGCACTGCAGAGGTGGAAGTTTCTATGTGATGGGTTTCCTTAGCAACAAGAGCTGGAGATGTCATTTCCCCGTAGCCCTTCATAACTAGAGGAGAGGTGAACCAGGTTCTGCTGCCTGGGGTATTCTGAATAAAAAGCAATCAAGGCCCTGGAGGAAATTCAGAAAATCTGTGAAAATACTTAATCCCTCCTTTTCCCATAAGGCTCTCCTGTTTCACCACTGGGTTTCAAGTACCCCCACCTGCATTTTAATCAATACCCCACCCCCAGCCGTGCTTCTCACATTATAATCAATATATAAATCACATGGGCTTTAAAACGCAGATTCTGATTTAGTAGGCCTAGGGCCAAGCATTTCTAACAAGCTCTCCTGATGCTGCTGATTCAACAGAGAAGCAAGCACAACACTGATTCCAAGGCCTTAGACTATGCTTGGTCCTTTCCTGATGCTTTTGAAAATGCAGGTCAGGAGAAAAAAAAAAGTATTTATTTGGGTTGTTCGCTGCTTCTCTTATCATTCAATAAAAATAATCATCGCTATGTGTTGAAAGTGTTCTTGAAACTGAGGCCCAGATGGTGTAAATTTTCCCTTCTGTGCTGACTGTGAGGTCAGTACCCTGGGAAAGAAGCCAACCCTGGCTTGAGAACCTGCTTAGTTCTCCTTCCAGCACACCTCAAGCCCTGCCCCATTGCCCAGGGTGGGCTCCTTCACGCCTATACCCTCTCGTTCTTGGCCCGCTCCTATCCCTGGATTCAGGCAAGTTTACTGTCTGGAAGCAGTGTCTTGGGCAAAACAATACAATATGGTACAATAGGAGGTGAGAAGACGTGATATGAGTAATAATCATTTAACATAGCATTCTTCCAAACGTTTCTCCACTTTCCTTCTAAAGCTCCTAGACAAAAAAAAAATCTTAATACAAAGAAATAAAAATGGTAGGACTTGAGAAATTTTAGCAATATGATGGATAAACAATTTAATTTTTGTTTAAGAAAAACTCCTGGAACCTCTGGCAAAATTTCCTTCCTTCCTCTCTCGATTCATTCATTCATTCATTCATTCATTCATTCAGGTGTGGAAGCAGAATTAAAAGAACTGGACTTGCATCCCAGCTCTGACACTACCCAGTCCCTCCATCTTCAGGGTCTCCCTCTGTAAAATGGGAATGAACAAAAATTGGAGGGCTGTTGTGAGGATTAATACTACCATTTATTGAACACTTAACTACTGGGCACTTTGCTACATGTTTTACATACATTTTCTAACTTAACTAATTAAAATCACATGTGAAAACAGTTTGTGTATAAGAGATTCAATAGATGCTAATTAAATTTATCATTCGGTCCTCTGAGCTATATGATCCCAAGGATGCCACAATAGGTTTCTCACAAACACCCATGTTGTTGCCATGCATTGATGGTTTGCTTTGAATTTCTGCTCATGAACTCCCCTTGTTGACCTTCCTCTTTCACTATGAAATAAGTCTGATAGAATTGGTTTTGAGTTCAGAAGGACTCAGGAGCAAAACAGAGATTAGAATTAGGTCAAAATATAAATATGTAGAATATGATAAAAGTGGCATTTCACATGAGGACAGGGAGAGATTATTGAACATGTAGTGTCAGGTCAATCTACTAGCCACCAAAAGACATCAAGTTTAGTGACTAAGAGTATCACCTCTGGTACCACAATGCCTAAGTTCAAATCTTGGCTCTGCCATTTACAGTCGATTAATCTTTTTTTTATTTTTTTTTTAACGTTTATTTATTTTTGAGACAGAGAGAGACAGAGCATGAATGGGGGAGGGTCAGAGAGAGGGAGACACAGAATCTGAAACAGGCTCCAGGCTCTGAGCTGTCAGCTCAGAGCCCGACGCGGGGCTCGAACTCACAGACCGCGAGATCATGACCTGAGCCGAAGTGGGCCGCTTAACCGACTAAGCCACCCAGGTGCCCTACAGTCAATTAATCTTAAGCAAGTTGCTGGACTTCCCTGTGCCTTAATTTCTTGGTCTGAAAATGGGGAAAATTATAATACATCCACCTGATATAACTGTTGTAAGAATGTAGTTAATATAGCTAGAGAGCTTTAAAAAATTCCTGGTATATGGTAAGTGCTATGTAAGGTTATTTTCTTATTGTCAAAATGTTTAAGTGTATCCATATTTCACTTCTTGCCAAAAGAACAAACTCCAGTCACATTAAATAATGAAACTATAAACTCCAATATGAAGCCCACCCAAATTAAATAATTAAACCATAAAAATACTAGAAGAAAATATAGGAGGGTATTTTTACAATAATGGAATTAGAACAGCTTACCAAAGTATGACAGAAATACCAATAAGAAAAGACTGATAAAGTTAATTTAAAAACTACTTTGGCAGGGCAAACACACCTTGAACAAACTCAAAAAAATAGCAACAAATTGGAAAATTCACAGCACATGTGGTAATAAAAGGCTTATCTTCCTAGAACATAAAGAGCAACAGTGGGCTGGCTGGTGCCCCCCTCCCAAGAGATATGGCCATGTCCTAATCCCAGTACCTGTGAACGTTACCTTATGTGGAAAAGGGGTCTTTGCAGATATGATTAACTTAAGGCTCTTGAGGAAGAGCCTATTTTGAATTATCCGGGTGGACCCAGAATGCAATCATATGCATTCTTATAAGAGAGGGAAACAGAGGAGAAGACCAGGTAAAGATGGAAACTGAGATTGGAATCCAGCAGTCACAAGCCAAGACAGGCCTGGAGCCACCAGAGCCTGAAAGAGACAAGAAAATAAATTTTCCCTATAGCCCCTAGAAAGCTACACCTTAATTTCGGACTTCTGGTCTCTAGAACTATGAGATAATAAATTTCTGCTGTTTTAGGCATTAAATCTGTGCTTACTTGTTATAGCAGCCACATGAAACAAGCACAAACTAAAAACAGATAATTCATGGAATAAATACAGCCAATGAATTGATGTAAGACTGCAGTAATGGTCAGAAAGGCCAGTTAGACACTCCCAAAACTTACATTAAGATACTCAAATTTTCATTGCTATCTTGAATCACAGACAGAATAAAATAATTGACAGCTAAAGCATATAGGCAAGCATTTCACAACCTTTTACAGTGGGGATACAAAAAGAAAAGCAACAATGTGTATGTAATGCTGTGAGTTTAGAATCCAGAAAGTCTTCATAATCTTCTTTCAAGTTACTTCTTCTCCTCACTGCTAACAAAACCGTAAAGCCCTTATGACTCAACCTTAATACAAAATCAAGGCAATAATTTACACTTGAATTCAAGCCCTGTGGGACTTGTGTGCATGCACAGGCAAGTACCTATGTGTTTTAAGAATGGAAAGCAAAATCTGATTAACAAGTTGTTCGTTCTTATGTAGCAAATACATAGTACCCCTTGCCTTTCATAACACAGTATATGTATTATATCCTATATAAGTGTATGGTATATACTATAAGCATGAATTCAGAAAGTATCCTGCAACAATGATGATCTCTATTCAGTAATTCCCCTCTCTTGAAGAAATAGGTTCCAAATATAAGTAAAGAGTAATGAGGGAGACAAAGACAGTTGTTTAATCACTTTTCCTAGCCTGTGATCCAAGGGGAATGAATGTATTATAAACATTTTCACGGCCAGAAAAAAAAAGGGGGGGTGTAACTATATAAAAAAAAAAAAAAAAAAGCCGATCCATAAAAGAAGCAGTCTTAGAAACAAGTAGTTGCTTCAGCTCTTAGAGAATGTCTTACTGGCTTCCAAATACATGTAAGGCATACTTATACTTAGAAATGCTGTTCCTTCTCACCCAGCCCACTGAAGGGAAGTGTTTTTTTCTTTTTTCTACTCTTTAAAAAAAAATTTTTTTTTCAACGTTTATTTATTTTTGGGACAGAGAGAGAGAACATGAACGGAGGAGGGGCAGAGAAAGAGGAAGACCCAGAATCGGAAACAGGCTCCAGGCTCTGAGCCATCAGCCCAGAGCCTGACGCGGTGCTCGAACTCCCGGACCGCGAGATCGTGACCTGGCTGAAGTCGGACGCTTAACCGACTGCGCCACCCAGGCGCCCCTCTTTTTTCTACTCTTAAACCACCAGTCTGTTATTAGTTCATATGTTTTCAGTGAAATCTTAGCATTTCGGATTTAATATTTTTTTTCAGACACTTTTCTTCAGTACCATGAGTTTCTTTACCTGGATTCATATTTTCATTTTACAAAAGCAACATATGTTTGTTATTTTTCAAAGTAAAAAATACGGTTCCTCGCAGCCGCCCGAAGCGGACGGTGCCACCACCCCAACCCCCTACCCCCGCCAGCGGCTGCCCGGCCCTCCCCCTAGGATGTGGCCGGGCTTCAGGAGTCAGGGCTTCAGGAGTCAGGGCTGGGGACACCGCAGACCCGGGACCCGGAGCAGCTCGGAGGCGGTGAATAATAGCCCTTCAAGTCTGAAAAAAAAAAAAAAAAAAAAAAAAAAAAAAAAAAAAAGGCCTCCAGTAAAACCACAATGCAAAAAAAGGGAATGAAACAGAAGAGAAAGAGTAAAAAAGTAGAAGAGGCAGAGCCTGAAGAATCTGTGGTGGAAAAAGTACTGGACAGACCTGTAATGAATGGGAAGGAGGGGCATTTCTTGCAGTGGAAGGGATTTACAGATACTGACAATACTTGGGAACCTGAAGAAAATTTAGATTGTCCAGAGTTACTTGAAGCATTTTTTTGTTGTTGTTTATTTTTGAGAGAGACAGAGAATGAGTGGGGGAGGGGCAGAGAGAGACACACAGAATCCGAAGCAGGCTCCAGGCTCCCAGCTATCAGCACAGAGCCTGATGCAGGGCTCAAACCCACGAACCCAGAGATCATCACCTGAGCCAAAGTCTGACACTCAACCGACTGAGCCACCCTGGCGCCCCTGAGGCATTTCTTAATTCCCGAAAAGCTGGTAAAGAAAAAGATGGCACAAAATGAAAATCTTTATCTGACAGTGAATCTGATGATAGCAAGTCAAAGAAGAAACGAGATGGTGCTGAGAAACCCAGAGCCTTTACCAGAGGTCTTGATCCTGAACGAATAATTGGTGCCACAGACAGCAGTGCAGAATTAATGTTCCTCATGAAACGGAAAGATTTAGATGACGTTCACTCGGTGCTGGCAAAAGAGGCAAATATGAAGTGTCCTCAAATTGTAATTGCTTTTTATGAAGAGAAACTAACTTGGCATTCTTATCCAGAAGATGAAGCTCGGTAATTGTTTTCATTGCTTCATATATATATACACACACACACACACACACACACACACACACACACATACATATACATGTATATATAATCTGAAATAAAATATTATATATTTATATATAAATATATAAATATATAAATATATAAAATAAATATAAATATAATCTGAAATAAAATAAAAAATACAACTAAACCAAAGCAAGAAAAATAAAACTCCTTATCACTCCTTCACCCCAAATTAAATAAGTATCTCATATATGTATACCTAGACATATATGCTTTTAAAATAGATTCATACTTACACATTGCATATTACAACCTGACTTTTTTCAGACTATTTGGTCATCTCTCTTCAATATGAATTTTTTGATAAATAGCCATCTACAATATTGTTAATGGCTGATTAATGCATTTTAAAAAGTCCTTTTAGCAAACTTGAGATAGTATTGCAAGTAAATGTTTTCAATGTAAAATTTGTTAGTTAAACCATTATTCCACTGAGAATGAGGATGAATAACAAAACAAAAATAAAAGAAAGGCATCATTGCTCTCACAGTACCTTGTTTTGCCATATATTCTAGCCTGATGCAACTTCCCAGGAAATGGTGGTAAGCCCTCATCTCTGCCTCTGTGATCCGCACAGAGGTGTAAGGCAAGTATCTGGGGTCTTGCTGCCCACACTTCCTGCACCAGGAGGCCATTGGATCCCAGGACACCGTGCCACTTTGTTCTCTCTTGGTTCCTCTCAGCACTGTACTCACATAAATGTGTTTAATCCCTTCTCTGAGCTAATCTCACTGAAGTTCATTCAAGGTCATTTCATTGCTAAGAGTTTATCCTTTGGATTGGTGAGTGCTCACAGGATTACAGGCCCAATAGTTACTGGATTTACTCATTTGGAGACAAAGGGAAACTGGAGGATGAGGAGGTGGGGTAGAGAGGGAAATCCTAGAGTCAATGAGAATCAGAATCTTTTTTTTCTTTTTTAGAGGAATCACAATATGAGACATACATCAGGCCACTGGTGTATTATTCCAGGCCACAATCCTCCCCTCCCTCTTTTCCAACCTGTCTAAACTGCAGAGGAATAAAATACAGAGACTTAAAACTACAGCCAGTAGACGTCACTATCTAGACAGGCAACATGGGTTGGTACAGGAAATGATCAGTGTTCAAGTCCTGAAGGAATGTGGACTGTGTCCTGAACCACTTCTAAAGATCAGGTGCAAGTACAATATCATGATTCTAAAATGAAGGATGTTTTTTGTCTGTCATGATCTGACTAAGACCTCCCACCCTTACTACCACTCGGAGAAAAGCAAGCTTGCCTTTCAGAACTGTGCTATGCCAAGTGTGGTACACTCAGAAAGAGCCTGATTTTTCATAATGTATTTATCTTGGTTCTTCATGCTTAATGTTTCTGTTTAGTAATGTTATGCTCCAAGATTTAAGGAAAGGGCACAATATGAAATATCCAAAAAGTGATAAGTAAATTGATATATAAACTTCTAATTTTTATTTGTATATTTCAAGATAAAATTTGAGTAAGACTTGCAACTAGCCAAGGAGAAACTGGAAACACTTTTCATAAAAAATAAATAGGAGCACCTCGGTGGCTTAGTAGTTTGAGCATCCAACTCTTGATTTTCACTCAGGTCACGATCTCACGATTGTGGGACTGGGCCCCGAGGAGGGCTCTATACTGAGCATGGAGCCTGCTTGGGATTCTCTCTCTCCCCCTCTCTCTCTGCCCCTCCCCCACTCATATTCTCTCTCTCTCTCTCTCTCTCTCTCTCGCTCTCTCTCTCTCTCTCTCTCTCTCAAAATAAATAAACATTTAAAAAGTAAAATTTAAACTAAATAAGTAAATAATAAATATTTATTTTTTAGGGAGAAGGTAAAATTGAATATTATTGAAATACTTAAATCTGAAGTGTACATTTTAATGAGTTTTGACAAATGGATACATCCATGTAACCCACACTCCTTTCAAGATATAGAACATTTCCATCTATAGAAAGTACCTTCATTTCCCTTCCCAGCCAACCCTTGTTCCTAACTGCCAGGCAACCATCAAAGTGATTTTTCAATAGAGACTAGTCCTGCTTTTTTTAAAACTTCATATAATGTAACCATATAGTGTGTGCTCTTGTGTCTAGGTTCTCTCAGGATAATGCTTTTCAGATTCACCCATGTTGTGTGTATCAGAAGTTCATTTATTTTTATTGCTGAGCTGTATCCCGTCTTATGGATGGTCACAGTCTGTCCATTTTCCTGCTTATAGACATTCAGGTTTTATCCCAATTTGGGCTGCTTTGAACATTCATGTAAAGGTCTTTGTGTAGACACACATTTGCATTTCTCTTGGCTAAATACCTACAAGTGGTATTGCTCAGTCAAAGGAGAGGTGTATATTTAATTTGTAAGAAACTGCCAAACGTTTTCCTGAATTGGTTATACCAGAAAGTCCCTTAAGACTAGAGGCTGCTCTGTTTAGTAATCCTCTGTGCCAATTCTTTATTAGTGTTAACTGCATGTGAAGTACTTTAAGAAAAATACCTAAAAATTAAGAGGAAGAAATGTAATATAATTTGAGATGCTAAAACTTATGAAAGCTCTTTTTTTTTTTCTCCACCATTAGGTATTGTGAATATATTAACTCCAATTAAACACCAAGTCTGAAAGTCCTAATTACAGGGCAGCAAACAAGGCAATTTTTAAGCAACAGTTTGTTGTATATAGCCAAATTTCCCTCCAAAATGGTTGTGCCAGTTTATATTCCCACCAACAATATAGAAAGTGCCTGAGTCACCATATGGAGGCTCTTTCTCCTACTACATTAACTTTTTTACCCATTCATTCAGTTATGAATAGCCATGAATGCTTGGCTAGCATCACAACACCTACGAACATAAGAGCTATCTTTGTTAACCACATAAATCCACAATGGCAGTGTAAATGCAATTGCACACACCCAGCAATGACCTTAATTATATTTTTTGCAGTTTACAGAACTCTAGGGAGAGGGTAGACTGTAAAATCTTGGAAATTTTCTTTATTACATTTGAATCTCTTATATGAACAAGCTGTACAGATCTTACAAATCCTATATTCCATGCACTGACCTTTATCATTTCACCAAGATCAAATATCCAATAAAGGGCTACATTTTCTTTATTTTGAACAACAGATTCTGAAATAACTGGGTACTAGGTAACTCTTAGAAAAAAGCTGATTATTTCAATAGTAATAGCAATGGGAGATGAATATTTTCCCCCATCTCCTCCCCCAACCCCCCAGCAAGAAACTACTATTATAGGTAGGGGAAAAAAGTGCTTTTTTAGCTCTTCTAGGGGCGCCTGGGTGACTCAGTCGGTTAAGTATCTGACTTTGGCTCAGGTCATGATGTCACAGTTTGTGGGTTCAAGTCCCGCATCGGGCTCTGTGCTGACAGCTCAGAGCCTGGAGCCTGCTTTGGATTGTCTCCCTGTCTCATCCCCTCCCCCACTCTCCCTTTCTCTCTCTCTCTCTCTCTCTCTCTCTCTCTCCAAATAAACATTGAAAATATATTTAAAATAATAATAATAATAATAATAATAATATCACCAAAAAGGGCTAACAATTACATTGCAGCTATTGTGCCATGCACTTAACATGCATTACTTCAAAATCCTATACGAGAAGTTCTCTCATTACCCCATTTGACATATGAGGAAGCAGATGATTCCAAATGCTGATAAAGAGATCTGGTAAAATCAAGAAATCCCACACTCTGTTGATGCATCACTAAAATAGTATAAATTTCCCAGAAGGTAATTTGACCAAAATGTATTTTAAAACTCAATACTCATACTCATACTATTATTGATCCAATAATAACATTTGCTAGAACTCTATGCTTTAAAAAAAATCTGGAATGTGTGAAATGTGTGCAAAGATTTCTGAACAAAGATGCTCTTTGGGGCTCCTGGGTGGTTTAGTCGGTTAAGCACTGGACTCTTGAATTCGGCTCATGTCATGATCTCCCGGTTCCTGAGCTGGAGACCCACGTGGGCCCGTGCTGACAGTGTGGAGCCTGCTTGGGTTTCTTTCTCTCTCCCTCTCTATCTGCTCCTCCCCTGCTAGTGCACACTCTATCTCAAAATAAATACATAAACTTAAAAAAAAAAAAAAAGAGTCTTCTTGCATTTTTGAAAAAATAACACTGACAAACTAGAAACAACCTATCTGACCAACACTAGGGCAATATTTAAAAATAAATTATATTATAACCATGTAGGGGAAAATTATAAAATTATTAAAATGTTATTTATGGAAATGTTTTATAATATATGGAATTGTTTGTAATATAATTTAGTTTAATTTGTAGTGTAGCTTTAAAAAGCAGAATAGAATTTATATAATTACATAAATAATATGTATGAGATATATCAAGAGAGATAGATCATATCATGTAAAATGATACAAATTGCCAAAGGAATGTGAAAATGCCAAAGGAAAAAACCTAGAACATATGCTCAAAGAGTAACTGTGACTGTAACTAGGAGATGGAATTGTTGACTTTCTTCTTTGTACTTTTCTGTCTTTTCCAAATATTATGCAACAAGCATGTATTTGTTTTCTGTATTTTTCTCTTTGGTAATGCTTTTTAAAATTTATTCTTAAACTCGTATACAGTATAATCCACTCTTGTTAGCATACAGTTCTAAGTTTTGACAAATGCATGGAGTCATTTAACCTTCACCACAATCAGGATGGGGAATAGTTGCATCATCCCCTGTAATCATGGCACCTCCTCCCCACCCTTAACCCCGGGCGACCACCCCATCCTAATTTACCTTTTCCAAATGCCATATAAATGAAATAATTTAGTATGTACCTTTTTAGTCTGGTGTCTTTCTTTAGCATATGTATTTCAGATTTATTCATGCTGTTGTGTGTATCAATAATTTATTTCTTTTCATTGTTGAAGATTCCATTGTACAGATGTGCCACAAGTTGTTTATCCATTCCTCAGGGGAGAGACATTTGGGTTGTTTCCAGTTTTTAGTGATTACAATTAGGCTGCTATAAGCATTTACACACAGATTCTTATATGACCGTGTTTTCATTTCTCTTGGGGTAGGACTACTGGACTGTACAGTAAGTATATGTTTAATTTTATGAGAAACTGCCAACTGTTTTCTAAGTGGCCCTACCATTTTCCATTCCCACCAACATATTGTGTGGGAGATACAGACCCTTCTCATCCTCACTGGGACTTGGTATTGCCATTTTTTTAACTACTGTAATAAGTTTGCAACTTCCATGATGTTGAGCATATTTTCATGTGCTTATTTTCATCTGTGTTTCATCTTTGGGAAAGTATCCATTCAACTTTTTTTAATCCATTTTTAAGTTGGGTTGTTTGGTTTTCATTTAATGTTGAGTTTGAGAGTTCTTTACGTATTCTGGATAGAAGTCTTTTGTCAGATATATGATTCACAGAATTTTTTCCCTGAATGTTTTGTTTTCATTCTCTTAACAATGTTTTTCTCAGAGCAAATACTTTTAATTTTGATGAAGTCCAATTCATCAAATTTTTCTTTTATGAGTTGTACTTTTGATGTCAACCTAAGAACTCTCTGTCCAACCAAGAACACAAAGACTTTCTCCTATGTTTTCTAACAGATTTCTCATTAGGTTTTACATTTGGATACATGGTCCACTTTGAGTTAATTTGTGTATATGGGGTGAGGTATAGGTCAAGGTTCATTTTTTTGTACATGGATGTGCAATTGTTCCAGCACCTTTTGTTGAAATTGCCTTTACACTTTATTCCACTG